TTATCGAAATGGTAATGCAGGAAGCGAAGGCTTATCATCGGTGAGTATTATCATTTTTTTTTTTTTGAATTCAAAGCTGGGGTTAAAATCCCCTTTTCCATTATGGGACCCTTATGTGCAGCTGATATTTGTCAGTAAGACTAATTCACTCCAAAAGTGCTATGCATACGGGTAGCATGCATATTTTGAAAGGCTATAAGAGCCGTTCAGGGCAGTGGTTTACAAAGCGTTTCGAAAAATCATTCGGGGATAGCGAGGAAGTTCGATTTTTCCCGGTCCCATACTTTTGTCGAAGAGGGTCCCATCAGTGATTTACTGATGGGACGGACACTCGAAAAATGTACAGGACGGTTGCGTTTCATCAGTAATATCCTTTTGGGAGCAAGGTAGCCGATGGCTTTCGCTTTCGATGATTGCTCAATTATAATCGCAAATCTATTCTGGCTTTTTGGCATGCGCAACTTACTGCTGAATCGGGTGATCGAGTCGTGAGGGATTGGGCTCATATAAAAACGAATCAGATGCCAGGGATTAACATTTCCTGCAATCAATTATATTAAGCTCGGCATCTTCATGAATCGTCTGGATCAGTTCTGGGTCCAATAGAAATGACAGACAATTTGCATTTGATTGCCTTTTCACTTTTTTCTTGAATTATTATTTTGCAGCGTGTACGTCGCATCGGTTCATCCCGATCTCTCGGAATCCGATCTCAAAAGTGTATTTGAAGCATTCGGTGAAGTAACAAAATGTCAACTTGCACGAGCTACTGGTCCAAATGCTGGCAGTGGACACAGGTAATTTGCGAAATTTTGGGCACCGGGGTCCTGGACTTTTTGTTTTCGGACACCGTCGAAGCTCCCTTCACCGGGTGCACTCAACAGTGTTAAACTTACGCAATTTTCCCCTCAGCATGAATGAGATTGCTAGGTTTTTACTGACAGCGATTGGGAAGAAATATTAATTTGTATTTTGCAGGGGTTTTGGATATTTGGAGTTCAGTAATGCGCAGTCAGCGGCCGAAGCTATTGCTGGCATGAACATGTTCGACTTGGGCGGGCAATTTTTGCGTGTCGGCAAATGTATCACTCCGCCGGACGCACTAACATACATTGTTCCCACTTCGACAGTCAATCTGCCCACTGCTGCCGCTGTTGCGGCTGCTGAAGTTACTGCTAAGATTCAAGCGGAAGAAATGACGGCCAAGAAATCGCCGATTACGTCGATAGTCACCGGCAAATCATCGCCATCTGTGAGTCCTTCTTCGATTCTTTTTAATAATTTCAAGGGAATAACTGTTCTCGAGAAAACAGCAGCTAGTCGAGAAACATGCATTAATTGTAGAAATACCAACACAATTAGGAAAACTGGAAAAAATTAGATTTAGAGAGAGCAGAATAAGTCGGACCAAAAGGATCAGAAAGGGCCTAGAATGTTCTGCAAATATGAAATTGGTGAAATAAGGGACATCAGAAGAAAAGATTCTTGGAAAATAAGGGAAAATATGAAAAGATTTGCGAAAGACACGAAGACAAACATATGTATTTGTGGATGCAAAACGTGGTTATTGATATAAACAGGCCAGTGAGGGCTGGCTGTGAAGGAGAGAGCAGTGGATCAACGATGCTTGAAATGCCTTTTCGTGACCATATTAAGCACTTATACTCGGATTCTTCGACAGATGAGTAGCGTAAATGATGCCACTGTGAGCATACAAGAAAATGAAACCCAAT